GGCCGCCCGCCCCGCCCCGCGACCCCGCTCCTCCGGGGACGCGCCCGCCCCTGCCCGCGGGGCCGTGCCCGGCGCACCGGGAGCGACCCCCGCACCCCCCTCGTGTGTCCCGACACCGGCCCCCGCCTCTCTCCCTACCGCGTGCCTCGGTAGCGACCCCACGGCTCTTTCCTCCTCTTGCTCCCTGGCTCCCCTCCCGCTCGGGGGTCCTGCAGCCTCCCCGCCCCCCGTGCTCTCTCACCCCCGTGCGGCACCAGCTCCCGATGAGCCCCGGGACGGCACGAGGATCCGGAATGGCTCAGGAGCGGGACCAAGGCAGGTGAGACCCTGGTACCCCAGACCCCATCCAATGGCCCCAGGGCCATCACCTGCAGCCCCTCCTGCCAGGGTCAAGCCACAGAGCATCCATGGGAAGTGTCCCCAGAGCGAGCTGCCGGCTGGCCTGAGGGGCCACTGGATTTCTCCCACTGGAGATAAAGAAATATTAGATGTAACCTTGAAAACCGATCCCCCCGCTGTCCTGAACAGGCCTGGAGCAGAGGAAGTGACAGGGACACTGCTGGGATCCTGCACAGGAAGCAAGGCGGGAGGGGGAGGTCACACCAGCAGCTGCTCAGTCACCTTTGAATTCTTCCACCCTTTGCTTCCTTCTGCCCCAGCCCAAAACCACCCTTATGGGATGGGCTGAACCCTGGCCAGCAGGTGAGCAGCAGGGAAGGGCAGCAGGGGGTTGGACAGCTCAGCATGGCCTGGCAGCCTCTGCAAGAGCTGGAAACAAACCTCCAGCTAGAGCCTCACCTCTGGAGCCTGTGCTGGCTCCTGCAGCCAGGCTCAGCTGTGGCCCTCGGGTGTCCCAAGCCACCAGCATCACCCCAGGCAGGATGGGAACTGTGGGACATGCTGCTGGCAGATAGTTCACAGTATAAGCAAGAAGGGTTGGAGTGCCCCACATCTGCCCTCCCCAGGCAGGGTACAGCCCCAAGCATGGCAGAGCCAGCATTTTTGGCCAGGTTGTCTCTGCTGCTTCCCTGCCTGACCTCACCAGCAGGACCTTTTCAGCAGGATGTCATGCACTGCCAGGGCCATGCAGCTGAACCCACCCTGGCAGGCTTGTGGCACCCTTGGTATGGGCAGAGGACAGGGAGTGAGACCTTACAGACCTTTATTGAGGGTAATCCTGTTTGCCATGGTCCAGGGGAGCTGCCAGGGCAGCAGCTGCTGCCAGGAGAGGAAACCCCCAGAGGATGGACACTGCCACCACACCAGCCTGGCTGGCACATGGAGCCTTGTCCAGGGCAGGAACCCAGCCAGGACTGAGAGCTGTGATGGGAACCACACCCAACACTTCCCTGTGATCCAGGACACCTCAACACTCCCTCAGCTGGGTGGGACACAGGGGGCTGTCCCTGCTCCCTCTGCATGCCCAGCCTTATGGGAGACCCTCTTCAGAAGGGCAAGAGCCCCCAGCACTGTGATTAGCCCTTCCAGAAGCAAATGGAGAAGGCAAACCTGTCCTTTCCAAGCCCAAAGTCTCATTTCTCTCCTTTCAGACTAGAATCAAAAAAACCCACAAACTGTAGGTAAACTTTTAAATAAAATTCCCAGAAGGAACAAACTACTGGGCTGAGCCAGAGCTGAAGGGAAGGAGTGCCCAGAGAGTGGGCAGGGCAGCCCCAGCTGGGGAGCAGTCCCTCAGCAGGGGCTCTGGTCCCTCACTTGATGAGCCTTGGATGAATCCTGCTTCTCTTTGGTCAGTGAATTGTAAACTACAGGTTTAGTCTCTGCAGGAGGGAACGTGGGAGCAGCTCAGTGCTGGGCACCTTGGAGATGTCTGCCTGGAGCTGCAGGAAAAGTCTTTTCCTGGCTATGATGCTGCAGCGTGGGCACCTCCTCATCTCCTCAGCTGGGCCTTCAGTCTGATTTCTTGGCATGTTTCCTGCTCTTCCACATGACAGACATTATAAAAACACCTGCCAAGAGAGAGAGAGACAATTCAGGTAGGAAACATTTAATTCCAGGCACTTCTACAACACCTGGCAATGAGAAACAGAATCTCAGCAGAGAGAGTAAGAAAATTCTAATGTCCAGAGGCTCAAACAGCCAAAAATCACACACACAGAGCCACAAGTGCCAGGCTAAGCTGCAACAGTAACCACAGAGAGTGCCGAGAGTGTCACACATTAGCTAAACCCCTAGCAACCCTCTTCTCTCTTCCTAATTTAGAAGTTTCTAATTAGAAGCACAGAAATAACTCTCACCTACAAATAGCAGCAGCAGGAGCCCGGCTGCCACAGGGATGATAACTGCATATTCCCGAGGCAGGAAATACTGGTGGATCCCATGGTCGCTGTCGATGAAGGGCTGCAGGGACACAGAGGGGGGTCAGCAGGTGGGCACAACACCTCAAGGTTTCAGGAGAAACATGGAAATATCTGGTGTGAGACGGCCAAAAAAGAGTGCCCAGACCTGCAGGTGGCTCGGCCACAGAGCCCAAGAGTGGTGGGCAGTGAAGGGTTTGGTGTTCAGTGGACAGTGAGGGGTGGCTGTGGGGCTGGCACAGGGTCCCACAGCCCCGGGGGTTTGGGGTGGGCAGAGCTGCTGGTGCAGAACCCAGCAAATCCCTGTCTCTGTCTCTCTGCCCTGCAGAGGGGAGCAGATGACACCAAGCTCCGTGGTTATCCCAGCAGGATCGCTCTGCAGAGGCCAGGGGAAGGCTCTGGACACTAGGGAGCACTGTGAGGACTGGAATGCTCCTACAGCTCGGGGAATGCCGGGAGCACAGACGTGGATCGGGCAGCAGAGTGAGCAGATGCAAGAGGGGAATTCAAACCCCTTGGAGTTGGAGGGGAAGCTGGTGGGAGTTCAGACATTAGTCCAGGGCTGAACCTGGCCTCTCACACCTGGAAAGTTCGTGGGGAGAAGTTTCTTTCTGGGTAGAAAATCACTAATCACCTCAGCTGATGTGTCCCCAGAAATGGGCAGCCTCACAATCACCTTCCCAGGGCCCTGCATTCCCTACACTCTTGTTTAGTTTTACAAATCTCCTAGCAGATTTGTTAAGATTTGTCTCTATGCTTCCCTCTGTCATCTCCCACCAGAACCAGGAATCTGGGGGATGTGGACATTGATGACTACACCTCCATCAGGGCCAGGCTTCAGCTCTTCCCAACGACTCATCCAGCCCTAGCTGGGTCAGCCCGGCTTGGAACAGCAGGTGGGCACCATGATCAACGTTTGGTCCTGCCCAGGCGAGGCCAGGAACACCCAGATGGGACAAGGACAGTGCCAGCACACAGAGGAAGACCTGCCCTGAAATTTTTAACCCAGAAGTCAAGAGTCCTTCGGGCACACAGACACATCATCACCTGAACACAGGCCGGGGAAACACCTGAGCATGGCCTGACTGGGCTTATATTGGCCAGAGGAACCCCGTACCAGTACGATGATCCAGAGGGTGTAGTAAACAAAGAGGACGAGGCTGAAGGCGACCAAGCCAAACCCAACCAGCTGGTCCGTCGCTGTGGCCTGCAAAGGAGAGACAGCGGGATCCCCACGCCGCCGGTACCGTGCCCGCGCTGCGGGTCTCAGCCCGGGCAGCGGCACCGCGGGATCAGACACTGCGGCGGGACGATGCCCCGAGGCCGCGCCGCAGGAAGCTCCCCGAGCCGGGTCACACACCGCGGCCCGAGGGCCGCTCCCGGCCGGCGGCCGGGCCCAGTCTCTCCGCAGAGGCGGCAGTCAGGGAGCCTCGCCGCGACTCGGCCCAAGCCCCCCGTGCCACCGGGCCGAGCGGGGACCGGACCGAGCGGGGCCGAGCAAAGACCGAGCGGGACCGACCCTCCCTCCCCCGCCGCGCCGTCCCCGCACTCACCATGGCGCCCCGGCCTCCTCCCCGCCGGTCCCTCCTTTCCGGCGCGCCCGCCAATCAGCGAGCGGTCCGCCAACCCCGCCCCGGGAGCGGCCAATCGGTGGCTGCGGGCGGGGCGCGCGCGAGGCCCCGCCCCGAGCCCCGTCACCTCCCGGAGCCGAGAGAGCGGCGGGACCGGGCCGAGAGGAGGATGGCCCGGGTGCGGGGCTGGCACCGGGGAACGCGGGAGGGCAGCGCTCCCCGCCCCTTTAATGGAGGGTTCCTTGCCTTGTCTCACCCCCAGGCCCGAGATCCTGCTCACCGCTCGCTGCTCCGGTGCCGTCGCCTGCACCTGCGGCCTCGGTACTCGGGTTGCATCCAGCGCCTGTGCCCCGGAGCTGTGGTGCTGATGGATCCTGGCACCGGCTCCAGCCCCCGGGGCACTGACAGCCCACACCCCGCCGTTCCTCCAAACACACCCGGGGGCAGCGGGAGGAAAGGAACAAGCGAGACCAAACAGCCAAGGGACAGACACAAAAAATAGAATCACAGATTCGGCCGCCTCCCCTTCCTGAAACAAGGGAAAAGGGAAGACCATGCTTGGGACTCAAAGGTGCACTGACCTTTGTGTGGCCGAGGCTCTGGGAAGGTGGAAGAGGCAAAAGCTGCCTCCTCCCAGGGCTCCTGTTCCCCTCCAGCCCTCAGGCAGCAGCAGTGAGTATCTGGGCACAATTCAGTGCCAAAGTCATGGCTCACCCTCCGTGACGGGGGTGCTGAGCCTGTGGTGGGCGAGGGGCTGTGCAGGCACAAGCACTGAGGATCCAGAGATTTTTATTCCTTGTGCCCTGCTGGGCTGTGGGCCCAGTCCCCCAGTGGGAGAGCAGAGCCTAGGCTGGGGCAGATGGGACAGAGCACAGGACACTGCTGGTGCCTCAGGCAGGTGCCACCTTTTCCCAGGATTGCTGCTTCCATGGGACTGCTGCTGTGCCACCAGCTGCCCTCCCCAGCCCTCCTCCAGCTCCAGGGAAGAGCTGGCAGTGATCTCTCCTCTCAGCTGCCAGAGCAATCAGAGAAGGCAAAACCAAACTATTCTAGGCCTGAGCATGCCCCTCTCACCCCATAGCATTTAAAACAAGAAACAGAGCAATAAGAATCAGTGTGAAGTACCAAAAAACCTTTATTTTTTCCCCCAAACCATAACAACATTTGACATTATACTGATTTCCTCATATATTTGTTATTTCTCTACATTAGGAACCAGATACAGAAAATACAAACACGATCTGTTGAATCAAAGACGGCACAGCATTCCGTTAGAAAAAGAAACAAAAAAACTAGAGGAGCAAGATAGAAATGGTGAAAAATAGTCATTCCCTCCAGCCCAAACTTTCCAAGAATCATCATCAAAATAGAGCAGTGGAAGTAGCTTCTCTTTCTAAACGCACTTCTGCTTTAAGACAAAAGTTAGATTTATCTTTAGATTTTCAAAGTAAAAAAATGTTAAACTATCTTTCAAGCAATTTTGGAAGTTTGCATAGACCCATTCCCTTTCCAAAAATATCAGCCATCTGTCTATAGAATCTGATACAAATCGAGTGCGCCTCAGCCGAAGGTCACCAAGCTCAATTCACTTTCAAGAAAATAAAACATGATCTCCCCTTCCCCTCCCTCCCCCCACAAAAATATGGGCTCTACTGTTATTCCACGTGTTTGAGGCAAGTTCCCAGGCTCAGCCGCATCCCTCGCTCAGAGCTTCACCCCAATTCCTTTTCATTTCCCAGGTTTCCACGCCTGCTGCTCTGGAGGCAGCGGGATCAGAGGGTGCAGGGAGGGGGCTGATGGACACAGCTCTCAGGAGGGAAGTGGGGGGAATTTTGCATTCATCAATCCCTCCCCGCAGCGAGGAAGTGGCTTTTCAAGGACAAACACCTGCAGCCAGGCAGAGTTTGTAGGAACTTGTCCCTGGGGACTGGCCTTGTCCAAAGGGCTCGGTCACCAGAGCAAGAACTCAGCTAGAGACCAGGTGGGGCAGCAGGGAGGGGTGGAGGGGGGTCTGCAGCCCCCGGGTAAGGCAGCGAGGAGGGGAGGGGGAGCCCCTCACCAGGAGGGGCTTAACTGTGGTGCTCTAGCGTACCTGGAGTGAGGTTTTCCCAGAGGATCCTGGCAGCAGTGCAGAGACCAGCTGCACTGCCACCTGCTTAAAAAGAAACAGCAACGACAAAATAAATAAAAAGTCAACCCCTCCTATTCAGATGAGAATGAAATACTATTTCTTCAGGCCTCCACCTGGTTTGGAACCCTCTAAAAACTGAAGCAAACGTTTAAAAGGGCTTGTTAACCTTTCTGCAGGGGGCAAAGTGATGTGGCAATGAGGGGGGGAGAAATCACACGCCTGCTGCCCATCACTCCAAGGGTCAGAACAGCACGAGGCCCCCATTTAAAGTGCTGACCATACAAAAGATGATGATGAGGGAGCAACATCCTTCTCCTCCCTTTTCCCATCACAATTTCCAACTGAAATCCATCTCCTTCACCAAGTAACGACTAAGCCTATTCTTCTGGACACTCAGTTTTATATTGGCTTTAAAAAAAAGAAAAGAAGTTAGTAAAAAAGTTACACTGAATTTCCTAACACTTTGCAATGTGCTTCCACCAACTAAAGGTCTAGAAACCAGGAGCAGAGCCCACACGTTTTGCCTGATCCTGAGACTGAAGCAGAGAGCCAGCTCCGCTCTCCAGGGCCAGCCAGGCGTGAGCAGCCCTGCTCGTCAGCATCAGAGACCCAGGGGATGCAGAGTCTTGCCAATAAGGTCCTTTTACTTGTTTAAGCCACCTCTGAATCCCCTGAGAAGGGGAACAGAGTGGGGAAGAACATTCCCCCCTAAGCCCCCCCTGAAATAAAATATCAATGAAACAATAATGCAGTCAAAAAACACCAGCCTGCTGGGTTTGTATAAAAAAAAATTCCATAAACTTCACAACAAAAAAGAAAAACCCGAAGGAAAGTAGCCAGCGGTTTGGGTCTGGAAACTGATTCACTTCTTAAATGTTCAAAGTCCAACAAGGAACAGGCAGCAGCAAGGAAAAAAGTGCTCGTGAGATGCAGCTTCCTGAGGCAGCAGTGAGTGTGTGGGACCAGTGACCCCACAGCCACCACCTCGGGTGCCCACGGCTGCCTAGGGACTGCTGGGCACTGCTTGTGCTGGATGCACAGCAGGAGCTCTGCACGGGATCTACAAACAGGAACCGACTGCTCCTTCCTCCCTCCCTCCCTCCACATCTGCTCCAGGTCCCCCAGCTGTGCTGCACAAGGCTGGATGACTAGGACTACTTACTCACTCAAAACCAGGGGCAGGAGAGCTAAAAAGCCACACAAAGACCAGAATCTGTGGAGGGACTAACGTGGAGACAAGGAAGAAATACCCTACGAGACACAGTTATCAGAAATGCAAGCAGTGATGTGCCAAGCCACTGGAAGAGAAGCCAAAGACATGCCCAGGTTGGCCACAGGGATGTGATGGAGCAGGTTATGCCTCTGCCAGCCTGGGAAGAAGAGACCAGCGCTCTCAAAAGCTCAACTGCTTCTCCTCTTGCTTTGCTGGGAAGATATTCCTCTCTCTGTCCCACTGATTTCGTGACATGCCGAGCTGCCAGTGCCTCGGAGCAGCCAACTCCTGCCAATGGAGGCCAGAAGAATGCCCTGGGATCCCAACTGCTCTGACAGTGACTGCCATTGTTTCTCATGGGAACAGAAGCAAAACAGCAAAATGAGCTGGGTTTTAGCCTCTTTCCTGGCTTATGCTTGCTCCTTTCAAGTCCTGGTTGGATCTGATTTCCCGAGGGGCTTTGTTGGCCCCTGGGGAGCAGCCAGACCCTGGGCTCTGCAGGGCCATGCGCAGAGGGCAGAACAGCCCCTGCTGTCCCAGCTCCCTCTGCCCTCACCCTGACCTGAGCAGACGGTCAGGCCAGGCCTGGCTCTCTGGCACTGCCCCAGGGAGAGAGAAAGACAAGCAGTTCTCTCCTTCCTGCAGACATGTGGCACCCCAGGAACAGGGCAGGATGCTCAGCAGCCTGCAAGTGAGTGCCAAACCTACCCAGGCTGAATGAAGAAGAGATCACCATTAAAAAAAAACCTAGCAAGTGTGAAAGAGCTTTTGTTCTAAACAGTCTCAAAAGATCCAACACTTTTCCCTACATTAAACCAAACCAAGGTGTTGTCTGTATCCCCTTTTTACCCTAATTCAAATTTAATTCCCTTTGAAGGGAAAGGGTGGAAAAGATGCATATCCTATATGTGGTCTGTCCAAACACAGAAAGAAACCTCTTGACTCGAAGAGAGAAACCATCAAAACAGAGTAAGCAACTGTATAGTTTTACACACTGCTGAGCACCCTCCCCATGCAGCATCCTTAGCTAGAAGGGTAAAAAAAAAAAAAAAAAGCTAAATCAAGGCCCTTTCATTCCTTGTTTCTCATTCTGCCAGATTCCCTTTTCCAGCAGCTCATCTGCATGCATTCTGGCCAAAGAGACACAGTTAATGCTTTTTTTTTTTCTCCTTTAAAAGAGGCTTTACAATAACTAAGAATTTGAACAACGTGATCAGTTACAAGTCTTTCCTTGCTGAACAGAGTGAGTGTGTGCCTGTGCACACACACACAAGTGCCAGAGGGGAGCCAGGTCCTGGAGTGTGGAACTGCTCCGAGGGCACGGCTGCCGAGTGCCACCACAGAACACTGGCAACAGAGGAATGGGCACTACACAGAAATAGCTTATCTTATACAGGGAGGGCTGCAAGCACAGCCTGCTGCTGGCCCACAGCCAGGGGCTGCCCAGATCCTCGCTGGCAATTCAGCTGCCAGGAGAAATCTCCAAGTGGGAGCTGAAAGGGATCGACATCTCTGCCACACACTGCAAGGAAAAGTGTCAAACAACTGCAGAAACCAAACCCAAAGAAGAGCAATTGAAAGATCAACCAGAGAACAGTTTGAAGCCTTGTCAGAAGAGTTCACTCACCACAGAGCAGGTCAGAACAGCTGCTCTGGCTAATGCAGCAGCAAACACCCCTTCTACCCTTGAAGGCAGAGACAGTAGCTTCTCCCCAGCCCTGAAAGGAACCAGCACAGGCACAGATCTCTGCTGACAAGACAAGAAAGGCCAAGCAACACCAAATCCCTTACTGGCCCAGGCCAAGAGAGGCAATTGACATCACCACCTCAACAGAGAGACCACTGCAGTCAATTGCATCCAGCTCTGGCCCAGGGAAGAGCTGTCAGACAAGATTCTTTTCGTAGTCCAAGAAGGGCAGTTCCCTTCCTGAGCCAATGAAACAAAGCTAAAAACAAACCCCCCCCCCCCCCCAAAAAAAAAAAAAACAAAACAAAAAAAAAAATCAAAGAAAGAGGCTTTGTATTCCAAGCTCCAACAAGACTATTTGCTGAATCAGTCCAGCAAACACAGATTATACTCATGGAATAGTGAGTAGAAGCCTCCTCCAGGTAAAATCTATAACCTCTAAAGTGCTCCTGCTAATGCTAGTTGATGAACACCCCCTTCCATGCCCAGCAGTGGAAGGGCTGCTGCAGTCAGTGGTGAGACGAGCACTCACATTTAACCGTTCACCAACTCCCAGCTGGACTGCAGCAGAGTTTTCTGAAATGCACTTTTGGGAAGTATTTCCTATGAGAAGATGTTGTTTGGGGATGTGAGGATAGGAAGGTGAAGCGTACACCACAGCATACCTTGTTCCGTAAAACCATTGCCTTCCTTGGGAGGTGATGTTCCCTTGCAGAGTCAATGGAATAAAGCATCCTGCAAGTGGCCATGTCACCATGTCCCCAACAAGCAGCTCTGGGTTTGGTTGGAATGGTTTCCCCCACCCCCAGTGGTTTGAAGAGTTCACAGTGGTATAACCCAATGTTTTGGGGAGACAGAAACTGAGAAGTCCCCTGCTGCAAGTGAATGGGTGGAATGAGGGATGCAGATGAGCAACATCCTCTGGGACTAGCCCAAGGATAAGCCCCACAGACACCTTGTGTCTGAGCAGGAACAGGGGGAAGGCATGCACTGGAAGGACCAGGAAGCAGAGAAGGACAATGCCAATGCAGGGAAAGTGCATGTTCTGGAGTGGTCTCGGAGTAGTTCTGCAGTGCAAACATACGGGGAGGGGCGTGGAGAAATCCCTTCTGGAATGCTGCATGAAGAGAGGTAAAGGTTGGCATCCGTGTGGCAGCGGCCTGGGTAGGGGGCCTGTGTCCAGCAGCTCTACCCTGTTCTTCACATTTAGTGGGTTTCAATCACCACTGGCTCGTAAACTCCAGATGAGACCCTGGGGAGGCAGAGGGGGAGAGGGGCCAGTTATTTTCCAGAGTCATTTTGAGCAACCAGGCTCTGATTCAGAGCTCTCCACTCGCAAACATCATCTTCTAAGCCCACTGAGAACACTGCCAGTAACGAGTCAGCCTTGTGGGAAGTCAGTCCTTGGAATGCAGAGGGGACAAAGGGGTGGCAAGTCAGCAACAGAGCACTGGAGAGAGCTGGGTGTGACACATGAGCCCTTCTAGAAGACAGAGCAAAGGGGGAGTATCCTATCCAGAACAAAGCCTGGCTGCCTGGCTTTGCTGTGTTCCCAGTTTTGTCACCAGCTTGATGCATCTTTGCATTACCATTACTGCTCTATTTAATTCAATGAAAAGATGCAATAAAACCTCAAACGCAACTGGCCAAGAGCTGTACTAAGAGCTATAGTGGCAAGAAAAAGTTTTACTGCTTCAGAAGGCTTTAATGAGAGAACAAGCCCTCGATGATTATGGAAGAGGCAGGGAGAAGGGACAATAAGAGGCAGGGAAAAGGGACAATAAACCCCACTCTGCTGCAGTTTTGCTGCAGGCCAGCAGGAGGCAAAGCTTCCTCCTTCAGGAGCAAACGGGAACCAGCCTCTACCATTTTGTCCTTTCACTCCCCACTTCTGTTCCTGGGTCTAGCAACCAGGATCCCATTATCCCTCTGAGCTCCTGCTGAGAAATGCATTCATACTCTAGTGCAACTGCAGCCTGCCACCAAAGGGATCCCAGGGCTGTTAATGTGGGAAAAAAGCCACCATGTAGCACATGATGTTTAGAAATATCTCCTGTAGCAAAAAGTGGAAGTTTCCTAGGTATAGAGCCCACTAATCTCTCTGGAGAGATTAGGATTCCCTCTGGCTGCCAGCCTTTTGGGAAACCTACCTGTTTCCCAGCTGAATACCACTCAGTGTAGTTGTTCCGTCTCTGCTCACAAACAACCTCAGGTTACTGTCTGCAGAGAGAAAAGGAAGACAGACATCAAAATCCAGAACTACTGAGGCTGCCAGGAGCTCCCCTCTCAGACACACAATCACCACTGTGTCTCAGCAGATGCACATCCACACTTTCTGGTGGTGCTCCCACAGTCACCGAGCCCATGGGAACTCCTTTCCTTGCTCCAAAGGGGAGCCTCCACAACATGCAGCTTTGGAAGAATAAAGGCAGAGATATTAATTCAGTCATACGCCTCCAGCTGCCTCTTTTAAGGCAATTCCATTGATGTAAGTTTTTGGTCAGCTTATACACATCTGAACAGATAAGATGTGGGGCCTCCCACTGCTTTGGTAGAGTCACTGGAGGAGAAACTCAGCCTGTTCTGCTGGTGAGAGGCAGCTGCATTCAGTCTAGTTCTAACCCACACTGAGTGAGGTATAACTCCCCACATGATAAGAGTGCTGCCATGTGCAACAATTTAAGGTGACTAATGGTAAATTAATGAAGCACAGATAACAAGCTAGGCTCAAGTTTAAAACTTAACAGAAAACCTCAGATAAAAAAATCTAGATTTTTTATCTAAATCTAAAAAAATTTTAATCTATTTTTAATCTAAAAAAAGATTAAAGGTCGATTTCTATGCTAAACTGGAAAATGAAACTGAAAACAAAAGCAGCTACATTATTAGTTTTCTCCTAACAGATGCTGTGATTGCAATGGAGAAAACTCCTTCTTAAGCTCTCTGACAGGCCTGATCACCAGCACATGGTAACCCATGTTTCTGCAGAGATGTGCTGCTTCCCTCCATTGTGCTCTCCTCTTCTGATAAATACCCTTGGCCTGACCCTGGATGAAGGCCACTAGAGCAGTGCAGACAGCTGATGCAACTGATCTCCACTGTGCTGAGAATCAGTATTTTTCCTCTCTGTCCCTGCATGTCTGAGCTACTATTCAATCTCTGCTGTCATGTGTGGAACAACAGCAAGTGCTATCTGTAAATACATGTGCAGCTCTCAAACCCACGTGGTTTATCTACCACAGAAACACCCAGCAAGCACTGAAAGCAAATAGCTGTCCAAGGGAGAAGGGAGCTCCTGGCAGATCAGATCTGACTGTAAAAGCTTGGCAGCCTTGCAAAAGGAACAACCCAGACATCCCCTCTGAGGCTTCTCCTCTCACCTTCAGTATTGCTGACATCTGTGAAGTCCTGACTCTGCATTATTTTCTCCACTATATCATCAGCATCGATCCTGGTGTCATCCACTCGGGTTGGGTGACTCTCCATTGAATCCTTTTTCCTCCTGGCAAGAGGAAATCCAGGAAAAACTTACTCAGCTTTTCAAGACACAGACTTCTACATACTGTCCTGCTTTTCTCGGCCAGTCTCCTCCTCAGTGGCCACAATCTGATCCACTGCTGCCTGAAGACAAAGGAGCAGGCTCTGTCCCTCCTTCCCACAGAAAGGCCTTTGCTCCACCGTGACTCACCGGGAGGGTCTGTCCAGCAGGAGGGGTGGTCTGGGGGGCCGAGGAGGCTTCTCCAGTTTGTGTTCCCTCTCCCCCTCAGGGTACTCCACGGTCATGCTGAGCCCCCCCGAGGCGCTGCTGCTGGTGGACGTGTTCCGGCGGTGGGTCAGGTCGGACATGCTGGAGGAGCGCGAGTGCTCCGTGCTGTAACCTGCCAACACAGCGGTCACAAAGCTCAGCTGCTGCTGCTCCCACTCCTGGCAGCACAGCTAACAGGCAGGGCAGCTCCACAGCAGCACTTCTGCTGCACACAGAGGTTTAGACATCTGTGAGCTCATCTGCAGAGACTGAACAGGAGGCTGGTATTACAGAGCAGGGTGAGAGAGATGGCTGCAAATCACTCTCACAGGGGCTCGTTGCAGGAAGGAAAAGGGATGGCAGAGCTGTGTGGAGCAGTGGTTACCAGAGATCTTGGACTGCTGGCTGGCATAGCTCGAGTTCCGCGAGTGCCCTGAGTGGAAAACTTCCTCTGGGCTGGACAGGTTCTGATCCGACTCTTCTGGGACACCTGCCAAGGAAGAGGACACTGCTCACACCATAACCAAGCCAGCACATGCTGCACTGACCAGCTGGGAGTGAAGACTGATCTTAGAATGACAGATCAAGGAAAGGGCACTCTACTGGCCAGAGCCCTGCTACACAGGCCAGCACAGGGCTTAGAAACACCCAGGGAGTAGGGAAGAGCACAGTGAGTTTCTCTGTCAGGTTTATCACTATTTCTATCCAGCACATGAATTTACAAATATCTCTGGGGGCTTGTCTAGAAGGACAAGCAGTGCCTGAAACTATCCATAATTAAAAGCATCAAGACCAAGGAAGCATCAGATGGCCATTGGCAGTAAAGTATTTCAACCTTGTTTGGGTGCTTCTGGTACCACCTTTTCCCTTTCTATTACTTGTGAGAGAGCCTGTACCATTTAAATAATCTCTGAATGTGATACAGACACTTCAGCATAACCCCTTCTCCTTTACTAGCCCTGCTTGTCTCCTTTGCAGGAAGCTTATCCAGAAGTGCACAAATGTAACACATTAGCCAGCTTTTTAAGAACACCACTTGCACCACGTGCTCTGTCAACTGAGGGGATGAGACTTGAGTGCTATTTTGGTGCAGTGTATCTGCCTGCACATTTGGAATGTGCTGGGAAGGAAAAAAACTGATGTGAAAATGCAGTGCCCTTGAAAACAGGCTCATACAGAAGCCAAAGAACTGCATCAGCAGCTGGAACAAGGCCACTAGACCTTAAACCAACCTCTAAAACCTTCAGAGGAACTTTTCTAGAAGATAAGTCTGAGCAACAGAATAGCTGAGTGCAGAACAATGGTAAGTATCATTGAACACAGTGGAAAGCAGGGATGAGTGCAGTGCATGAATTATTAAATCCCCAGCAAAAAGAACAAATTGCTTTATATCCACTAACAGAAATATGCATGTGGCAAATATTCAACCTTCCTCTCCCCAGTTACACTTAGATGGCTTTGTTTTTCTCAATATTCTGGATGAGCAATGGGGTTGGGGATGGGTGTGGGAAATAATGAAAAATTAAAGACTGTCTGTGCTTGCAACTGCTGGGAAAAACCAAGGAGTGTCCAGGCACAGCCACACAGTGCAGGGCTCCAGGGTGGGCATTCAGACCTGAGCTGAGGATGGCAGTTCTTGGCTTGGCCTGGCGCAGGGAGCCAATTGTGGAGGAGCTGCTGCTGCTGGTGGTTCCCTCGCCCTTGCAGGTCAGCTGCAGAGTGGAGTCCTGCCCTGGGATGGTGATGGACTTGGCGGTGGAAGGAGGCCTGGAATCAGAAGGGAAGGAGGTTACAGACTGCCAGGCAGGGGGCAGGCATCATTCTGTCCATCCCACCCCTCTCAGCAGAGGGAAGCTGGCAGCCCTCTGACCAGCAGCTCAAATGGGATGTTGGGTTTTGTTTTCCCACATGCAAGACTGGTGTCTTCCCTACCTTGGACTGCATTACAAGAAAAACCAAGTTTTTGAGGTAAATTAAGGTAAAAAGGGGGCATTAATTCATTTATACAGGACAGCAGGCTCAGAACTTGCACTGTCCTCCAGGACACCATCAGAGCTGCCCTTTCACCCCCAGCATGTGTCCACTGGCCAGCTGGCCTCACAAACAGGAACCAGTTTGCTGTTATCCCATTCTCAAGTCCAGCTTCCCTTCTCTTACACCTCTCTGGCCAAAATGAAACCTTTTATCCCAGCAACCCTGTCCCCTTATGAGAGCACTTTTACAACAATCAAATAACCTTTCCCTTTTTTAACTGACTATTAAACTCTTCTCAGTGAAACTAAAGTGTTTTTCCAGCTGTCAGAATTATTTTTCTGGTTATTCTGTGAGCCTGCAACATCCCTTTGTAAATGCTGACTGCAGGGCAGAGCTGTGAGTGCCTGGAGCCCCCTCCCTTCCTCCAGAAGTGCTTTTGGGTGGAAGCCACAGCATGTGCAGCGTGGCAAAGTGAATATTCCTCTTGGAGCCCTAACCTCTCTGTAGCTTGAAGTCTGAACTGGAACTAAAGGATCATATTATGGATTTTAAGTGAGGAGTGAGAAATAAAATCTTTTGTCTCACTCAGAGCTCTGAGGGAAGATGTTACATGAGAAGGGATCTTTGCAGTATTTTGGAAGACAGAATATTTAATGTGGGCCAGCTGAATGGCTATAAAGCTTTCAGGAAACACACAGCATGCCTTTACCAGGAAAAAACCCTCCCTAATCACCTTATCAGTGATTTGCATGCACCCAGGTGCTTTGGAGACTTCGCTTCACAGGTTTTTAAAGCTTTTACAACCTTTAGCAAGCAAACTGTTCCTGCAGCAGCTGTGAGAGCAGCCCCTTGGTCTGTCAGCTCAGCTGCTCTGCCCCTTTCAACAACCCCAGCAGGAGAAGGTTCATGGAGTGCTGCAAAAAATCAGTGCTTGGAAGTGATTTCCCAGCACAGTTTAATTCCTGCCTAACCCTCTAATGAGTGTCATTTACCAGAAGCTCTACTGATCAAGGACTATTCCACATGCAAAGTTTCTATTTTTAGATATTTGCACATCATCAACATAAAAGGGAAAAGTGGGAACGACTGCAAAAATCCTTCAAGAAAATTAGGTTTGACTTTCAGACTGAACCGACTTACATTAAATGGATATTTATATCCTATTCTGTGTAACTTTCAGGCATTCTAAGAGTGGGACTTGCTTCCATTGCAAAGGAGCGACAGGTATTTTTGTAAGACATTATTACCAGACATCCTAGTACCCTAGATTTAGAACATCTGTTACTGCTACAATTTGGTTTAAGATACTCAAAACTTCTATATTACACTTTCTTCTGAAGCAGAAATTCTTCAGAATCAGGTGACACTGATGATGGGTTTAAAAGTGTCAGAAAATACTGCAGCACTATGAAAAGCCACTCACAAAACAAACCTACCAAAAATTATGCAGCACTTTAAAGAAGAATTTGAGCTAATTTACACACTCCAAGCTAGCTCCTAAAATTAGACCTTTTAGCCCAGAATAAAACTGCTACAAGAGCTGGCCTCAAGGTAAAGCTTTTTTCTCTCATACTGTTGGGAGGCAACATGAAATATTCCTTTGGGCACATGGCAGCCCTGCTGTGTAGTCACACACCTTCCAGCACACCACAGCAGGGCTGGACTGTGATGCTGCACTGTGGTGTGAGGGAAGATGTGGCCAGGATATTTGTTGATTCACCAACAATTCTTTAAGCAGCAAAACTGCTCCCCAGCCTAACTGTACTTATTCTTTTCTGTTATTATGCATTAAAAAAACCCCACATTACTGCAATTTCCCTGCTAATTAATACAAGTTGTGAGCCCTGTAGAAAAAAAAAATGATTCAGCCTTGAAGTATTTTGGTTGCTGTTTCGATCTGAGATCTTTATCCCCCATGGTATGTGCTGAAGCATGTCCACTTCCAAGACTGTTTTCTTTATTGACCTTTCTCCTCTTGGAGGTCAGTGAAACCAAGCCCAGAGCCATGAGAAATTCTATCCTTCATGCAAAACATGAAGTTTGTAATCAAAATCTCCTGGTTGCTAAAACCTAAGTTGCACCAACAGGGAAAACACTGTGCACAGCAATAATCAGAGCTGGGAAAGCCAGAGCAGAGAACAAAACCAATTAACAGCACAGGCTGGCTGTACTTCTCTGGGTGATTCAACCAGTTTTACTGTACTTCCCAACATCAAGTGCATCTTTTCCCCTCCCTTCATCAGTTTTAGTGTCTGTCCAGAATGGGGTACAGCCAGGAACTCACGTTTTGAAGCAGGGGTCCCCAGAGAGCAGGGACATTCCAATCGTGACCTGGAGAGGGGACACAAGGCACATCATTAGCCATGCTGCACTGAGCTCCTCACCTCACAACAGCCAGGAGCTCAAGGGCTAGGTGTAAAGATCAGCCAGATCTAGCTCCTTTCCCAGGGAAATCAGCTTCAGGGATTTAGCAAAGCATTTCTCTCCCTGCCCCAAATCCCTGGCATCAGTAACTCCAAGTGGCAGTGGCTCAGCAGGACACCAGCTGGGTCATGCTGACAGTGCCTTGTAACATTTTCCCTCCCTCCTGTTCCTGGTATTTTTGTCAAAGGTCACTGTTTGGCCAAATCAATGCCAAATTATCAAAGGGCAACTCTGATAATGGGAAGCTTCCCAAGTCAGTCTAGCAGCAGAAAAGTAAAACCCTGTGTCTGTACGTAACAGGACCTCCTCCCAGGCCTGGCACTGTGCTGTGATCTCCCCAAAGCCCTAAGCAGGATTTTACTGTGTAAGTTGAAGCTGTTGTACCTTTAGGATGGAGTTGTCCTGTCGGGTGTTCTTAGTATCATATCCTTCCAGCAAGCAGCAACGGACAGTGGATCCAGAGCCTGCAAATTCTGCCAGATTTAGATCAGCAAAGCCCAGCTGCACCAAAAAAACAATGGAGGAAAGGTGAGAGAACAGACATTACTCCATAAAGGGACACACAGTGTCACACAGACCAAAGGCAGAGAACACATCTGTGAGCACGGGCAGAACAGGAGCCAGGACACAGAGTGGTAGCTGTGAAGATTCCCTGTTCTTGAGGATGGACAAGGTCACATTCCTCATCCCTAGCTAGATGGACACTGGGAGGCCTTCAGGAAGCCAAGCCCACATGGAGGAAGGGTGTACAGTAGTGCTGGTGGCCAGGACAGTGTTAACCAGCTTGCAGCCATTGCATAACCAAGGACATGGAAGGCTCTAGGTCAACAATGTGGAAAAAACAGAATCACACATACACAAACATAATAAGGCACTCTTTGTATCGGGCCATCCCAGAATGCAGTGGAGCATGTGAACCAGGAGATGAAAGGATATTGTTACAGGGGAAAGTGACACCATCCTGAAAAAAACAACAGAATCTGGGCAGGAGCTGGAGGCCCAGAGCCATGTGGCACTGCCTGTGCCTCACCCCTCAGAGGCAGCTGCTGGGCTGGGCAGCTCCTCCCCAGCACTGCTAAGGTTTAACTAGCAAGGGGTTGGTGTGGCAGGCAGAAGGGAAGAGAAATATTTGGAGAGATTTAGTTGTGAGCTCTCTAAACCTTCTCTAACAAATGGGAAGCAAACAGGGAAGGTGACAAAGCTGAAGATCACACGCATTTTCAAAAAGGGCACCGATCCCTCCAGAGTAAATACACACACAATGAAGAGCACCTTTGTTTTCCTGCCTTAATCCTTGGTGTATTAACACAGTGTTTCAAAGAAAAAGTTACAGCTTGTTTTATGCACAGCTTTAAGAACAGAAGGCAGTTGTGCCCCATCTCATCTGATCAGGAGAACATGCTGTACTCTGTATGTGGCCAAAGCATCCAGGCGTGGAGCATCTGCGTCACAGGTCAGCTCCCAGGGGAGCAGGGAGCACAGGTGGGGCAGCAGCAGGTCCTTCTGTGCTCTGCAGCACACCCCTTCTGCCCTGCTGCTGACAGCTGGATGTCAACTGAACGGAGAGCCCCAACAGCAGCACCATCCTATGGAATTGTGGTGCCCCTGTCAGCTGAGGAAGCTGATAGAGAGTCCCAGCACAACACAGTCACTGCCAGAGGAACCCTGGCTCCCACTGTTCCAAGTCAAGAATCACAGTCTGCTCAAGATATATGACTGAGGGGGAAACAGCAGAAAGATTAATGTAGCTGCTTCCTTCATCCCATTCTCAAAGGGGAACTTCTGATGGCAAATGAAAAAAAAAATAGTGGGATAGAGAGGGAACCTTTCATCAGCAAAAAAAGAAGAAAAAAAATAACCTTTCTTCCTCTCTTCTCACTTCTTAAGAATTCCTTTAATGCAAGTGTTTCTTCAGCCCTTGCTGCAGAAATTTCTCTGTCTCTTCTAGCCAAGAGCTATGCTGTTTGCTAATTTTTCACTGATAAGGAAAAAAACAGTGAATTTTTATCTGTTAGAGATAAACAGGACAGAGGAAAGCCACAGAGGGAAATGCAATCCATCACTGTGACAAAGACACAGCACCACCACACCAGGAGAGCAGCATGGCACAGGGGTGGCCCAGACCCAGATCCCTCCTCCTCCACCACAGCACTAAATTCTGAGAGGAGACCAACACTGGAGCACAGAGTGTGGGAGAACCCTCCAGCAACCCACACGGCGCGCTGAGGTCAGAAGCTCTTTCAGGAAGCAGACTCCCAGTATATAGAGGAAAGATCCCTTAACAAAAGGATGTTTTCAGATATAACCTTTCAGAATAGTTTCCTCAGATTTCCAGCCAGCTGATGGTGTTTCTTCCAGCTCAGGGAAAGAGTTTCTGCTTTATCAGTCCTTCCTGTCGTCTTCCGCTCTGTCACCCCTGACACCGAGGTGACATTCACGTCAAACCCGAAGATGTGCAAGGCACTGGGAAGTGCCTGGGGCACAAACAGCCCCATCAGTCCCTGCTGGGGGGGGACCAGGTACAGAGGGCATTCACAAGTTTCATCTTCCTCTACACCTGCTGCTGTGACTGGATAAGTTCTCAGCTAATTAGGATAGTTTAAAAAGGTGGGGACTCATGGTGTAACATGGGAAAACAGCTACAAGGACATCACCACAGACTTCTGCTAGAAACATCAGGAAGCCCAAATCAGTTCTGTCATGGGAAGCTGCCTGGAACAAGCCTAGTTCACAGGGCAAGACTGCAATCTGGTGTGACATCTCATTTCTGAGCTGCTTCAGATCATCTTCTCAGAGAACACATGTCTTTTTCACAGCAAACCAAACAAGATACCAGCCCAAGAGATGACAAGTACTTGAGATTTGGTCTCCAGTTCTGGCCTGGAGGAAGTCAGTCTCTTTTACGTGCCACTAAACACAACTGGAGACTGAGCAGAAAGGAAGTAGGTTAGAACACGACCTGAATAAGGTCTCCAGGTTAACTCCACCATAGAAACATGCCTTCAGGCTTCCTTTAATTCTGCCTTCCCAAATCCTGCAGAAAGCTTGAGGATGGACAATGAGGAGGCAAAGGCTGATGCATTTGCTATGTCTCTTCCTCCAACTATGCTGCTCTCCCTCGACATGCAGCTCTGCAGAATGAATAACCTTCCCACAGTGTGAATTTAGTGAAAGAGAAACTGATGGCCCTAGAGACCATGTCCTAATTAGCAACAAAAAAGGAACAATGCCACACTGCCTTCTCCCACCCAGCACAGCAGAACACAGGAGCTAGTGCAGTAGACCCCTCACAGCCAGTTGCCTCCATGGCCTCAGAAAGGATATTGATGAGAAGGAATTCTTAAATGGCTGTGTATGACCAAAGTATCTGTTTATTAGAAGCCAGCAGCAGTGACTCATTTTCAAACAAACATCATTTTGGGCACTGTGTGAGCTCAGCTTCTAAGCCAACATTGTCTCTTGATCCAGCACAAGGAGGAGAAGGGGGTGGCCCATTGTCTGTCCCACAGCACAGGCAAGAAAATGCAAGGAAGAGAAACCAAGACTAAGATCCCTGCTGATCTGTTTGGCTTTTGCCTCGGTGTCTCCTGTGCTCTGGCAGGCAGAGATTTCTGCTGTAGGCTCCTGCCTGCTCTCCTGAGGCAGCGAGGTGCCTGCCCCAGCTGGCTGCCGTGCTCTGGAGAAGAGAATTGGAGTCTGTTTCTTTATTAGAGACATGCTGCCAGAAGCCAGAGAGTTCACATCTGACTCAGAACTTCCCCAAAGTTTGAGGACATGCAGATCATCGCTCCAACCCCCATCTCATATCCATATCCAGTGCAATCTGGATCCCATCCCAGCAAGTCGAGTTTTTTGGGAAATCTCTTAACTCAGACTTAAACTAAGAACTAATGAACATCTCTCCAGATTGGTCCACTCAGCAGCCACTGGTTTCTACTGGGTGTAAAGCACTAGCAGGAGACAAGACCATCTTCACTCTGCTACATTTGCCCTTTCTATGCTCTTACCTTTGAGTAGGTTTTTCCGCCCTTCAGCTCCTATATTGGGAAACAAAACAAAACAGGAAAAGCAGCTATTATATGTGCTGGGGCAACAGGGGGAAAGTCATTACTCAGTCCTGGAATCTGCTCTCACGATTCACAAGCCTCTCTCTCAAGGGTTACCACCACTTTGGTCGCTCCCTTCCTCCATCATGGACTCTTCTGGGAGAGAGAGGCTCCGTTCCAGCATATCCTGTCCCAAACAATCTTTCCTTCCCACCACAGTCCACATAATTTTTCTTGCTGCCAAAAAGCAGCCAGTAACCAGTTGCCAGTACCCCACTGGTGGTGCTACCTGCCAGAAGCAAAGCTGGATGCTCACCTTCCGGACAGACACTCGGCAGATGCAGGGGTCCAGGAGTCCTGTGGCAGGGTTGGCACTCATTTTACACACAAAGGTGAATTTCTTTTTCCAGCGGACACAGTTTTCCTGAACTTCCTCTCTATGAGAATGAAAAAAAAAAAAAAAAATTCAAATAAAGGTACAAAGACAAATCAAGACCAGCTATTAAATATCTTTTTTAATGACTGGCATCCTAGCCCATAAAGATCCTCTGCAACAGCTTGGTTCACCTGAAACTGAACCACACAAAGGTGTTAAGTTAGCATCAAGCTTTTCACTAGTCAATACAGGTAAAATCCAAAATCCACCTAGGTTACAGAAATACTAACCATCTCACCAACAGAATTTGCCTTTAAAACTCTCACAAGCTCTGACATTTCCTGCTCAGCCGGTTCAGCTCACTCACGGTCCGGCCTCATGGAGCAAATTTCCATACCTGAACTGGGCTGAAGGTTCACAAGCTTATCTCCCTCCAGCATGTCTGTTTGTACAGCCTGTGCACAGCAAACTGCTCTGTGTCCTGGATGGCCTGTCCTTCCCTCCTCCTCGGGCTGGCACTAAGCCAGTGGGGATGGCCAACTTGAAGGAGGACAAAAACACATGTGGAAATGCTCCTGGTGCAAGCACAGAGGGTCACACCAAGCAAACACTGCGCTTCAAAACCTGCAGGGGTTCAGCCAGGGAAGAGGTGGTTTTGCTTGCACAGCTTCTGAGCATCTCCAAGCTGAGTGGAGAAGCACATGGCTCTGGCATAGCCTGAGCCTGCAGAAGGAAGAGAAGAAGCCTTCCCGAGTGCAGGAATCACTTCAGGTACAGCTCCGGCTTCCACACAGCACTCAGGGGAAGCTGGATTTTACCTTTCCAAGGAAGCTGGTTCAAAGGAGCCTGGAAACAGTGTGTGGATCCTTCCACAGGGCTCTAGTTTCCTACTGAGCTTCTGCAGGACCTGATCCATTTACGGCTCAGAAATCGGCCCTCGGCCAGTTCGGTTCTCAAAGTAATCTGGCCAAGGGAAGAAGGGAAGGCACTGCTGACAGCTGTGAGCAAGCAAGTCTGACTCTTATCTCTCCTCCTAGCACAGGACAAAGGTGCAAGGGCAGCTGATAAACTGTTTGCTTTAGCAGGGAAAGGGAGGCTTCCCACCATCTGACCGGGGCCAAAGGGACTGTAAGCCAAAGGGACTGGTGGCAAAGGGGAGAGTGATCAGCTTTGGTACTGCCTCCACTCTTTCTGGGAAGGAAGGGGAAGAAGCTGTAGCTCACATTCCCTTAGGGCAACCTCGAGGTGAGCCCAAGGGGACAGATCCAGGGACTCAGTCCTGAGGCAGGAGGTCCCTGCTGGTCCTCCAAGACATTCTGTGGGACCAAATGTGCCAGCCAAGGCAGACACAGAGAACAGAAAAGAAGTAGCTGACAAAAACCTGAAACCTGTAATCCTCTGTAATGCAGATAAAGGCTGGTCATCCCTGTTTAAAACAAGAGAAAACAGAAGGCAACAATTCCTTCAAGGCAGAGAAATGAAATCCCTTCCAGACAGAACTCAGGCTCGCTATTGAAGTCAGTAAAAAGTGAGACATCTAAGTGCCAAAAATACCTTTGAATCTGGGATTATTAATTCAATATGAGATCTGGTTCTCATTACTCCACTCAACTCACCCCAGCTCTCTCAGACAGGAGGAAGAAACACATCCAGAGGGATTAAAAAGGTTTTGTCTGTAATAAAATATTCACCATGCCAGCCAAATTAGGCATGTTACATTTCAAATATGGGTGTGTTAAACCTGCCTCAATAATAAGCAGCTTAAATGACCTAAAGGAAGGAAAAACTCAAGATACAGATGAGAAAAGGTATGCAACAGAATGGAAAACCACCTGTGAACACATGCTTCAGGAACACAAGGCAGGTACAGGGGGATGCAGGAAACACTGAATATTTTAGGAGCATTAGTCACCTTTGGAAAGGAGCTGCTGTTTTCTAGAAAGCAGGGCTAATGCTATAGCTACTACTGACACCAGAGCTCCAAGGGAATGCTGGAAGGCAGCTGCAAGTGAAAGGAGTTTAGTCAGACAGCAGCACACTGCAGCACACCTTGTTCCCAACGCTCTAACCCCTGCCAGACAAGAGCACTCATGGGATGCTCCCTTCAGCTCCCAGAGCCCATCCCTGGCTCCCACAGCTGCAGGATCCTCAGTGGGATCAAGAGCTGCTCCAGTGTGTGAGTTTCCTTACTCAGGAGTTCTCACTTGTTTTACAATGCAGGCATGATTAAGCATCTGCTGGATGCTGCTAAGTCCAATGAAGGCTAATTACTTCAAAACGTGGTTAAAAGTACTGATTAGCAATACAGAGCTCCATAGCTAATTTGCCTTTAGCCTAAGCTCCTCTAACAGACATTCTGCTTCCTATTAAGGATGTACATTGGCTTTCCAGAACTGCTGTAGATACCACACAGTGCAAGGGATTAGGAAAAGGATTTGGGGGTGTTATGTTACCCACAGCACTGTGATCATGAACCTCAGCTGCAGGTGCACACAAAGCTTAGGGGGTTTGTGCCTTTGGAACAGTCTGCACAGGGCAAGAAAGAGTTTACAAGACAAAATCCAGAGCTGCTTTCCAGTCACAAGTTTCACAATCATTCAATAATGAATTTCAACCTTTTTTCGTTTTTTATTTTAAAGGGTGGGGGCTGGGGCTGTATCATTAGACAAACAAGCAACAGCTCTATTGTTTCAAACTGAACTCTAAAAAATTAGTTCCACATTTCCAAAAGATGGCATGTGGAGAAGAAATGGGCTTTGCCTATTCACCTCCCCTCAAGCTATCGTTAGACTGGTAATTAGACAACACTAAAAAAGGGACCAAAAAAAAAAGAAAAAAGGAGAACTCAGATGATGAGCAGTTTTGTATTTAGCCCTGGAATATTCTCTGATGTACAATTATGAACCATCATACAGAAACAAAAAACACCCAAGAAGCATGGCGAGGGCTGCACTGAGAGAAGTTTTTTTTTCATCCTAATCACAAGGCAACTAAAAGTAAAGCAGAAATGAACAGCTTAAAACCAGAAGTGTCTAATTTTAAGTTTCACTCTGTATTTGGAGAACCAGAAATAGTTCACACCAATGCCAGGTCTAGGTGCCAATTCAACGGGTCTTCAGAAGTTTTATTTTAAAAAAGCTGTCTGTATCATTTTGTAAGAAGACTCCCAGAAGGTTGAATCTCTGCCAAGCTAAGCTTTGCCCTCTTCTGACTTCAGACTTATTCAAAGCTGTGTAATTACTCTTTCCAGACCTAAATATACCTCCTCAGAATAAACCAGTGCAATCCTGTGGCAGCTTTTGTGAAAAGCGGAGTTCTGGAAAGAGCTTTGTGAGGTTTTCTAATCCTGGAGCTGCTCATCTACCTCCAGCTCGAGGAAGAGCTTTTTGCATCCCTCATCCATCATTCCAGCTCTCGAGAGAAGATTCACCAGAAAAAGAGCACTGGAAGGTGCTTCACCATAGCATGGTGAGAAAACAAGCAATGGGAATGATGCACAGGAGGGACTCACTGCTTTACCTGCTTTTGGAGAGGCAGCAGAGAACCCTTGGAAGCCTCCAAGGCCACTCTGGGTTGAGATCTCACACACAGCTCTGGAGACAGGCAGAAAAACACACAACAAACAGACCTTAAAGAAGAGATGCTTCCCAGCTGTGGTGTAAGTGCCACGGACAGACCAGCACTGTTACAGAAAGCTACAAGGCTCACTCTGAATTCAAGTTGGTAAAGCAAACACTTCTAGAAAAAGGCCACATATACAATCCTTGCTATCTTGGGCTACTGTGAACCTCTCTCCCACATGAAAACCCAGCTAATGAAACACTAGAGCAGAGATTAAAACTTCTATTTACAGACTCAGAGCTGAGTTGTGGGTATCGACCTTCCAACACGCCACCCGCTGAAACACTTCTGCCTTTTCTAAATGCCTGAAGCATTTAGAAAAGCAGATGTTTCACTCCTGCTTTATGGCAGTTGTCACACATATACAGTGTCATAAAAAGGCCACAGCCTTACTGAAAAGGCTGCAGCAACAAAAAATAGCTTTTAATGTCAAACGTTTCACTAGAGCAATGTGTCTCAGTGTGATGTTTCATGCATGGGGCAAATGTGGGAAAACCTCAGGCTAAATGGGACAGGACAGAGATAAGCACACACAAAGAGCTTCTTATTCAGATTTACTCCTCCTCCTTACACAGAGGGGAAGGGTAGGCTTTCCTATTTCTGATGCTCAGTCCACATGCTCACTGTCCCCCCTCTGAGATGTGGATCTGTGTCAGAGCCTTCAAGCAGAACTAATCCCCCTCTCAGCAGACCTAGTCCTCTGCACCCTCCTCCCTGGTTCACCACTGCAGCAGAGCAGCAGCATCTTATCTGATAAGGCACAGGAGAGATAATACCATTTTAAAGAGCCAAGCCAACTCCCAGCTCAGATTCTTTCAAGTGCAGTGTAAAACAGCCCTTCAAGGGGCCCTGACACACACCAGCAGTGTGTCTTTTGGGGAGTAAGGGAACACAACCCCTGCAATGCAGGTACAATCCCCTCAATCACAGAGAAACAAAATATCACTTATTTCAGCAGATTGCACCTGAAAGGCCTCTTCTACACCATTTCTTTACACAGCTCTGCTTTCATCTGCAGAGACACAGTTAAAACAGTCCCATCTAATCCCCAGCCCTTCCAAAGGCTGAATTAGAGCAGAGTCACTGACACTCCCATAGCTTGAAAAAGCCTGGAACAATCCTGCATTTTGCTCCAGAGAAGACAGTTACTATTTTAACTAGGTTATCTAGTGCAAAGCTGTAGGAGACACCTTTGATAAGTGCAAGGAAAAATCCCTGAAAAGCCTGCTTCAAAACTGACTTTCTAGGATGTTCAGGAACAACAACACCCTGGCGTTCACAGCACACCAAAATATATCCCATCCTACAAACACAGCAGGTCCTGCTACAAACAATGCCTAATCACTGCCTGTAAAATACAGGAATTACAAAAGTGGGTGAACATACATATGTAATACAAAGCAAGCCCTCATTTAGCCATTAGCTGGTTTAGAGTTACAA